AGGATCAAAGTGACACGAGCCCTAACTATAGGGACTGTTACTGTAATTCGCCCTTAATTTTTTATAGTCGGGACATATTAATTTTTTTTGGCAAAATTTATTGTACCATATTGTGGTTTGAGACCAAAATACTTTATCATTCTATGGTTCAAATATAATCAGAAAGCCCTAATGTGATTTTAGAATAAAGGGCAACAATTAACTCCAATAACTATAGATGTCAAATTACTGTAATACCCTCAAGTCTTATAATTTTTTATTATTATTTTCTTTGTCTCTCCTTTCTTATAGACTTAGGTCTCGTTTGACAATTACATATTTTAGTCAAAAAATCAATATAAGTTGTCACATCACTCTCTCTATTTTTCTATACATCTTTTCATAAAAAGTTAAAAAGTTATCAAATAGTTTGTTCCCAAACGAGGTCTTAATTTATAATTTCTAATATTAATTCAATTAAATCACAACTAATAATAAATTCTTAATTATTTATTGTAATTTTTAACAATTTATTCTAATTTTAATTAAATTATATTTTAGATCCCAATTAATCTTAAATTCTTAATTTTTAACTTAAATTTCCAACTTTTAATCTAGTTTTAATTTAATGATATTTTAGATCACAATTAATCTTAATTCTTTAATATTTATTGTAATTGTTAACAGTTTAATATAATTTTAATTTAATTATATTTTAGACCAATCCTTAATAATTATTTATTTTAAATTTTTATTTAATTATATTCTAAATCAATCCTTAATTACATTTTATCTTTTAGATAAATTTTTTATTATATTATATTATATTTTAATTTAATTTAATTTTAATTAACATTTAAATTTAATTTTAAGTTTAGAGAAAATGGGGGTAGCATTGTATTTTTGTTTTGTTAATTTCACGTTATTCTTTTGGAAAATCAAGCCCACTCTAAAAAATGGTATGTATAATATCTGTTAGTTTGAATGGAAAAACTAAAAGTAGCTGTTTACCTCAAAACTACATAGGGATTTTTTGACGACAAATAAGTAAATTACGAAGTTACTTTTTTTTTTTTTTTTTTGAATAAGTGATGCAGCACGAATTGCAAAATAATAATAATCTTAAAATTTGTTGATTCAACAAAAGAATACCGGAAGTAAGGTTCGTCTCTAAACTCGTTGAGTCACAATGAATATCAAGAAAAAAGGCTCAACAATGGTTTATTTTCTCAAAAAATACCCAAGGTTGGAGAAAAAAAGTGCATTAACTCACAATTTCAGAAATCAATAAAAGCTTTGTTGTAGGGGTGAGCATGGTCCGGATTGGACCGGATTGGGGGTAAAACCAGAACCAATCCGTTATTTACGGTTCCTGAAAAATTAGAACCAATCCAATCCGTTTAAATCATGGAACCAATCCGAACCAATCCATTTAAACACGAATTTGATCGGTTTAGGACCACAGATTCACATAATTAAATAACAAAAAAATGTATATATAACACTTTAATTTCATAAAAACATAAACATAGCACTATATTAGTTCCACAATAGCAACATGTCTTTCTATAATAGCGACATACTGTTCTAGAATTTAAACAACCATAAGAAAATTGGTTTCACCATAAGTATTTAAACCATTATAAATTAAAACAAAAACTAACAAACAAAAGTTATAAAAGAAAATATTATGCGGGTTTAGATTTGATTTTAGGTTTTATATGGAATAAGAGAAGATACTATGGGAAGGATGTATAATAAAAATATAGACTATTTGTATACGGTTCGGATCGGTTCCAATCCGGAACCGTGGGGTTCAATCCGGAACCAATCCGTGGACTACGGATTTTTAATTGTTCAATCCGGAACTGAACCACGGATTCAAAAAACCAATCCAAACCTATCGGATTGGACTGGACTGGATCGGATTACGGATTTCACGGATTCCTTGCTCAGCCCTACTTTGTTGTCCTAAGGCTTACCACCATTATTTATAATAAACCCAATTATTGGAGCACAAGAAACCAATAAAATAGGAAATAAAAATTAGAGCTAATAAAATGAGAAATTACATCATATCAAATCACGAAACTATATAACTATTAAATTAAAATATTCTTAATTTACTATTAATTTTAAAATATTAAAATTTTAAATTTTAGTATGCATCAGTCTCTCCCGCTTAAGAAAACTCGTCATCGAGTTTCTATTGCTTGAAATAATTTGGGAAGTCTACACTTGTCTGCATCAACCTTATATTTCAGGTTAATTTTCTTAAACCTAAATTTCAAAGAAGGGTCTTCCAAAATTAAACCAACAACTTCCTTTGATAAATTTAACCCACCTTCATCAACTACAAATCGGAACGATTCAAACTCAAATTTGTAGAATATTCATAAAATTTCTTTTCAAACGGATCATAGAAAAATATTCTCCACATTGTAGATTGATTTCGAATGCCCCTGAAGTCATGTAAACCAAGTATATAATTTGAATAAAATTTTATAATATCAACTCGTTCTTGAAATCCACATTGAATAAAAAAGGATTCAACCCAATCAAGATCACTTACATGACTCTAGTGTATGATTTCATCAGACAAAATATGATCAAGCATATTATTAATTCCATCAATGAATGGTTCTTCATAAAAAATTGGTGGTTTACTTCAATCCACAATTGGATTAGGAATAATTTTTGATGTGAATGGCCACTCAATTGTATCTTCTTCTTCAGTAACTTGGTTCACGTGATTTTGATAATTCTTTATTGTATGATCTCTCTTTGGCCTTTGACCATGAAAACTCAATAGGTTAGAATCATTATCTATTACCTCCACATCATCCACAGGAATCTCCCGAGCACCATCGCAAGTCCTAGGCATGATGCAGGAACATCACAAGCTTTGATACAAACTGATGCAGCGCGAATTGTGAAATAATAACAATCTTAAAATTCGTTAATTCAAACAAGAATACTGGAAGTAAGATTCTTCTCTAAACTCGTCGATTCACAATGAATACCGAGAATGAAGACTCAACAATTGTTGATTCTCAAAGAATCACAAGGTTGGAGAAAAAGAGTATATCAACTCACAATTTCATTAATCATCAAAAACTTTCTTCCCCTAAGACTTACAGCCATTATTTATAATAAACGCAATTATTGGAACACAAGAAACTAATAAAATAGGAAATAAAAATTAGAGGTAATAAAATGGAAAATTACAGCATATCAAATCAGGAAACTAAATAACTAAGTAATTCTATAATATTCTATACTAAATTAGAATATTCTTAATCAAATATTAATTTTAAATATTAAAATAAAAATATTTATTTTTTAAAATTCGGTATGCATCAATAAGTAAGTAATTTTATAACACAAAAGAAGGATATACAATGAAGTTCAACACACATCTTTGTAGGGAGCGCAAAAATAAACAGAACCAAACTACTCTCACCAAAGGAAACAAAACTACAAAAGGCATAAAACAACTATCACAACATAGAGGATTCAAAATTTCCCTCTCGCACTTTTAGGTTATGAAGTTTCTCTTTAAATTTTCTTCTATTTTCCTCCTTAAAAGTCTTCTCATTATTGGGGTCCCTTGGAGATGGGCTCCCTCTATGATTTAGACTAACTCTTGACTTATTCGCCATTCCCAAACTCTCATATTTCACAAGATTTAAGGACTTCAAAGACTTTAGATATAGAGGGATCAGAAGACTGTGTCCCTCTTTCTTCGTTTATCTCTGTTGTTTAAGTTTGCACACCATCTCTCCCCTTTTTATTCTTCACCACTTCCCAATTACAAAGGTACATACAAAGTTGTAAGATAATTTTGACATTCTAACATTAAGATAATTTAGGACTCATTTCCCCCACTAGACTATAACCACAAAGACATTAGCATACAACTCAAGTCAGTGACATGCATGATAGTCACTCTCAAATTACAAAAAACAAGTTTATTTTCCAACACCTCTTTAAACTAGAATTTTCTATTGATGTCCTGATTTTTGTTGTTAAAATACATCACTTTTGACGGCTTAGATGCAATATTTCTATCTTGAAATTCTTCACTCTGAATTGCAACAATTTTCATGGCAATAGGATATGCAAACTTTGAATTTTTTTTTTTTTTTATCTTTTTAAAAACACCGTCACATTCCATGTACTTGTCATTAAAATAAACATTTATAATTTTTCCATTGACATTGGCTATCATTTTCCATCCATTCTTGATTTTTTTATTGCTTGGATTTTGGAATTATTTATTTATTTTTATTTTTTTTCTAGAGGATCAAAAAACTCTTCTATGTTCATCGAACCTCTGTCACTTATGCCATTCTCTACACTCAATATCGTACGAAGATTCAGTATAAGAGTGTTTCCATCCCACTTCAGCACTAATTTCTTAAGAAATATGCATTACTCTACTGAATTTGCTACAAATACAATGCTATTTAGTGGTTAATGGGATGTTATATTATTAACTGGATCATATTAAGAAAAATTCAACAGTTTAATGACCAAATTGAGAAAATCTATAGGTTAAAGACCAAAGTTAGAATTTGATAATAATTTAATGGTGAACAGTGTAATTTACTCAATTTTTGTTATCATTGAACACTGTAAACCAAATGGCCATGATAGTAATTCCTTTAATTCTTCTTAGTGGATTGTTCTTGTGGCTGTTGCCCGTGGTTTTTTGATCACAGTTGGAGGTGTGCAATTGTGGTTTTTTCCACGTTAAATCGTTGTGTCTCTTTGTCTTGATTGTTTGATTGTTTGATTGGGATTGTTATATTCTGCTTTAGATTGTTATATAATCACAAATCAACATCTAGGGGATTTCTAGATTTTTCACTTGTATCTACTACCAAAGGAGAAGGAAAGCAACACTCGTACAGAAAGGTAATTAGAGTCTAATGATTTCCACAATTCTATTACAATTACAACCCACTATTAGTTGATTCTCTGTTCTGTGGGTTTTTTTTTTTTTTTTTTCTCTGTAGAAGATAATGGAAATAGCTCAGAAGTTGAATTGATTGACTCGGCTGGAGGAAGATTTGGCAATGACTACAACAGTGAAAATTTGCAAGCAGAGAAGCACGCGAAATTGCAAGACTTTCCTTCATTTCAGTTAGATATCATACTTGCAGCAACAGAACATTTTTCTGAAAAAAATAAGCTCGGAGAAGGTGGATTTGGTCCAGTTTACAAGGTACTTGCGAAGTTCAAGACGAATCTCTGAAAAGTATAAATCATATATAGCTTATCAATTGTATACATTGTGGATCAAGTGATTGACAATGCAATGTTAGGTTCAAAAGACCATTATTTGAGTGACTACATGACTTGAAATTTGTTTGCAGGGTACATTACCGGATGACAGAGATATTGCAGTTAAAAGGCTCTCAAGAACTTCCGGCCAAGGGCTAAAAGAGTTCAAGAATGAAGTCATTTTAATTGCAAGGCTACAACATAGGAATCTTGTCAGACTCTTAGGTTGTTGCTTGGAGGAAAATGAGTCACTGCTCATCTATGAGTACATGCCCAACAAAAGCTTAGATGTCTTCCTCTTTGGTTTGGACTCTTTCTAGTCACTTCCTATTTGCTAATGAATCCAATTTCAATGCAACCAATACAAAACCAAAGATCAATACAAAGATATATAGTAATTTTATTTGGTTATTTGTTAGACTCAACTAAAGGAGAGCAACTAGACTGGAAGAGACGCTTTCTCATAATTAATGGAATTGCTCGAGGCGTACTATATCTACATGAAGATTCTCGACTTAGAATTATTCATAGGGACCTTAAAGCTAGCAACGTTTTGTTGGATCATGAGATGCATCCCAAGATATTTGATTTTGGGATGGCAAGGATTTTTGGTGGAAATCAAAGTGAAGCCAACACAAATAGAATTGTTGGATCATAGTAAGTCTTTTCTGTTTCCATAAATTTACATACATAAATCTGTAATTTTTAGTTTAATCATGGTCTATGGTAGTGTAGCATAGGAAAAAAGCATTACCAATTTGAGAATGAAATTAGGACTTTATTACTGATGATCATGCAGCTTCTAAAATGCATATCCGTCTAACATGATATTATTTCGGATGTTCTCTTTCTACAACAGTGGATATATGGCTCCAGAGTATGCTATGGAAGGATTATTTTCTATTAAATCAGATGTTTTTAGTTTTGGGGTTATCTTGCTTGAGATAATAAGTGGGAAGAAGAATAGTGGCTTTCATCTTTCCAAACATGGCCACAGCCTCCTTACTTTTGTATGTTTCATATCTCTCTGTCGTTAAATGAAGATGCATAATGAAAAAACATACAGCGATTTTAACTTGAATAGTGTACAGGCATGGAAATTATGGTCCGAAGGACAAGGATTGGAGTTGATGGATCCAATACTAGTGCAGTCATGCGTGGCAAGTGAAGTGCTGAAGTGCATCCATATTGGATTGTTGTGCGTCCAAGAAGATGCAGCGGATAGACCCAACATGTCTTTTGTAGTTGTTATGTTGGGAAGCGACACCGTGATACTTCCTCAACCAAAACAACCTGCGTTCTCCGTTGGGCGGCAAGTCTTAGAATTAGCTCAATGCTCACAAAATCTTGACGTACCCTCTGTCAATGAGATAACTATTTCAGATGTATCACCTCGGTGACTGATAGTATTAAATTATTCTTTTCCTCGTTTTGTGAAATGATTCATGGACATTCACACATTATATTGTTCAAATATCTTTGAGAGATGTATGGTAAGTCGGATGATTCACATCTATAATAGTGTGCCAGTCAAGAATATTTGCATATTAGAAAGAAAAAAAAAAACTTGTTCTGCTTATACAGAATATTGAAGCCACTGCTTGTACACGACTCTTTACATATAAAAATATGTAAAAACGTTACTTTTCTTTTTCGAAGTGGAGTTCAAGTTGAAAATGGAAATCCTGAGCAGCGACATGATTCTTGGATTGCGGGAAATAAATAAATAAACAGAAACAGTTGTATTTCTGGATTTAATGTTTTTTTTATTCAATGTTTTTTTTTTTTTTTCTCAAGGAATGTAAGAACTGTTAGAAAATTAAATTGACGTAGTATATATGCACCATAAACACGTTTATTAAATTCAGTCCATATGATAATGATTAGATTTTTTGTATGTTTCTATTGAATAAAATATGTATTTATGCTAATGCATATGTGATTTTGTCTACTATTTATGAGATTCAAGAGCTCTCTGTTCTAGGGATTTTATGGGTCTTAAGCAATTGTTACTAACCCATATTGATATTAGTGATGCAATTATATATCCATGACTATTGGTACCGAAAGCCCAAAATCAACATATGCATCAGCGGATATTTAAAGAGAAAGATAAGAGACATATTATTTTCTACGGTTTATTTATAATCGGTATTGTGAATCAGTGGAAGAAAACAAAGTGTCTATAATGGGACTCATACTTCTAGAATAGAGTATTAAAATTTAAAAATGAATGGAAATTGACACAAAATGCACTCATAAAATGCATCATTTGATTTTATGAGTGCATTTTGTACCATAGAGGATCTCCATTTAATTTATTGTGTTTGGTATATAAATTTGGAGAGAAATTTGGAAAAGAAAATAATAAAAAAAATGTGATATATGAAATATAATTTTGTTTTATTTTATTTATATTTCACTTCTTCTTTTTTTCTAAATCTCTATCCAGATCCATAAAGCAAACACAGCCATTGAGAATATACATCAAGAAGTTTCAAGCACTAGAAATCATGAGGCTCATATTTGCCTACTTTGACATTGTTACTATTGAAAGGGGCACTTGATGGAAGTAGGTTAACAGGTGCAGTATAATATATCAGAAATTCTATGGACCTAGAAGAATGGAGCAAGGATCCTCTAAAGTGATTTTTCCCTAAAATTTCCTAGAGTGCTACGTTATGTGGTTGAGATTTACTGGCAAGTCACATCAATTTTTCTGATGTGACTTGCCAATAAATCTCAACCACACAATGTAGCACTCTAGGAAACTTTAGGGAAATTTCACTCTAGAGGATCCTTGGTGAGAAGAATGGGGGTTTGGGGATACTGCTGTCCCTTAAGGACAGCAGGAGCTGCGATGCCATCAAACGGCACAGTTTTGTCAATTTCTTTTTCTTTTTCTTTTTTTCTTTTATTTTTTTAAATTTTATTTTTAAACCAAAGATTTTTAAACGAAAGATGGAGAGCTATACATTCAGCTAGAGAGCAAAACTAATATTTACTTGTAGAGAATATTAAAAATATATATATTTACTTATAATTCTCAATACCAAAAGGTGTTTCACAATTTACCCAGGGCAGTAATATTATTTAATTACTTGGTTTCAAATTTTCTAGATTTATTTTTAAAATTTGTATAATAAAATGTTTAAAATTTTACGATTGATATTGTAAAAATTTGTGGCTTAGGTTTTGTTTTTATTTTTTAAATTTTAAATTTTAAACCGAAGATTTTTAATCGAAAGATGGAGAGCTATACATTCAGCTAGAGAGCAAAACTAATATTTACTTGTGGAGAATATTAAAAAAATATATATTTACTTATAATTCTCAATACCAAAAAGTGTTTCACAATTTACCCAGGGTAGTAATATTATTTAATTACTTGGTTTCAAATTTTCTAGATTTATTTTTAAAATTTGTATAATAAAATGTTTAAAATTTTATGATTGATATAGTAAAAATTTGTGACTTAGGTTTTGTTTGGCATGCAACACTTTTAGTCTAAAAATAAAAAAGTAACTAAAAAAATAAAAAAGCCTATAACACCAAAAAGTTAAAATTTCATTTTCTTTCTACTTTTTTGCACATCTTTTTATAAAAAATAAAAAAGTCATTCTAAATATACTAATTTTTTTTATCCCATATTTTGGCCAAAAAATATAAAATTACTAAAATAACATGTACCCAAACGAGGCCTTAGTTATGACGTTTGAGAAAATAAAGTTGTCACTTGTTAATAAGTTAGTGAGTAGGTATAATTAAAAATAATACATGAAAGGAATATTATAACCACAATTCATCATTTCTGACCAATAAGATATCTCAATATCATAATAATTTATAAAATATTGTTGCAAGTAAATACATTGTATTATAATTTCACACATGCACGATATATAGAATTTTGAACATTTAGGGCATGTTTGATTACAAAAATTATAGCGTAGGATTGGAATTGTTAGTCCATGGATTCACAATCTCATGTTTAATTGCAAATTTTATTAACCAAATTACATGTACGACAAATTCAATCTGACAAAATTGACAAATTTTTAATATTGAGTGGAATTGAGGATCATAATTTCAAGTATGAAAAAAAAAATTAATACATAATAAATGATTATCTCACTAACTTATAGAATTATTAATCTTGCACTAATTTTTGAAATTATTAATCCTTTCACTAAAGTAAAATAGAATGAATAGTTGAATTGCTATTCTTTTACAATAATTTTATTTATAATATATTTATAATTATTCTTATAATGAATCAAGAATGAATGGTAAAGGTGTAAACAATATGCACCCTATTGGGGGAGATTTGTGATGGCTTCCAAATTTCGAAATCCTTTTATTATAATAATAATAACATTAATTATTAAAAAAAAAACCTTTAAATTATATAAGTTATCCTCCTATTAGAGAGGCATATTTTCACTGTATAGTCTGGTGATCAATCAATCTAAACTATGATAACAGCTTCCAACCTAAACTATCCCAACCTAAACAATTCACTTTTTCTTTCATTTTTCAATGTAGGATTATCAAATAAAAGCTAGTCAATAGAGATTTTCTTAATTGTTTAAAGGGATTTTTATTGATAAATCCATTTTAGAATTGTTATAACCCATTAGATCCACAAAGGAATATTATAACCTGATTAGTCCCATATACTTTTCTTTTTATTCCATAAGGTCCATTTTACTAATTTTATATTTTTACCTGGACTATTATACCCTTATATATATATATATATATATACTGTGTTAGTACATAACACGTTTCCTGTTTTTTCATTGATTCAGTTTTGATAGTTTCTATCTTTACGCTTTTCATCATCATTCTAATTCAGATGGATACGTTTCTATTTTTTATACTTGTTTCAAGGCTTTGATGTGCTAGGGTTTCATTGTTGCTGTTGTAGTATAGTTTGTTGATTTTGGAGTGAAGACGACGGATTGGACGGTGTTCGATTGTGACATTTTCTGGAGTATAACTAGTTTAAAAAATCAGTTATTTTTTAGTTACAGGACGAGTGTAGGATTGCATGATTAAGGTTAGTATCATTTTGGTTATGAATGCATTTTCAGTTTATGTTTTGATTTGTATGATGGATGAGATGCTCTGTTTTTTTTACTGATATGGATCGGAGATGCTCTGTTTGTTTAATTATATGCATTTTACGTGGGCCTGTGGAGGGGAGGTCGTTAAGATTATGTGAAGAATGTGGATGTTCTCATTTTACCTTGATGTTTGCTTAATGAGGCTTTGTGCTGGAGAGATAATTCAGAGTATATGTAACAATATGAATGTTCACATGTTGTTAATATGAGGTTATTGAGGGTTGCTTGCATGTTGTGTAATGTCACCTTATTGTGGTGTTGTGATTTTGAACTTGTAAAATGTTTTATGTTGTGCAAGGATGGTGGTGGCAGTTTTCACTATGGATTTAGAAGTGAAACTGTATACATAGGCATTTAGTTTGCACAATGTGAATGTTCATATAGTATGGATTATTGTTTGTATTGTTGTTCGTATGGCTGTTACGTGGTTGTTGACTTTTGTTTTGTTGTGTTTTTATAGGAGATGGATACCTTTATGATGTTGGTGTGCACATATGGTTGCAGTACAACTGTAATAAATGTGGTTCGTGCATTGTGTTATTCGCGTTTGGTGGAGCGGTTATGTGAAAAATTGGACGAGTTGTCTGCTTGTTCTATTTCATTGTTCTGTCGACTACCTGGGATTAATAAGTGTGATTTGGACAATGACGAAGAATTTCAGAACATGTTATTACTTGCCAAATCAATGGGGTTACACCATGTAAAGGTTGTCATTGATTTGAAACATGATATTGGTCAGTCGGGTAGCTCTGGGTTGCTACATGTGGTGGGTGAGGAAGAAATTGATGCACTCCAGAGATTTTGCCACCATAAGGAGAAGATGTTGTTGTCAGCTCCTTGGGCAAATGGTATTACGCATGTGGGACAACGGTTTGTTGGAGGTACACAAGAATTTCGTGATGTTTTATGTAAGTATGCAATCCAATGCGAGTTTCAGTTTATATATGTCAAGAACGAGACAATAATGGTTATTGCAGTGTGTACGATGCGCGAGGAGAGAGGTTACTTGTGGTCTATACATTATAGAGCACAACGAAAAAATGGTTTTTCTATATCAAGAGGTTCAGTGATGTGTATAGTTATGGTATGGATGTCCGAACATCAAAGAATCCGAGAGTTAGTTCTGATTTGGTGTCGAGTACTATTTCTGAAATTGTGAGGGACAAACCGTTGACTCGGCCATGTGAGGTGGTGACTATTTTGAAGAGGAATTATGGGCTAGATGTGAGTTACCATGTGTTATGGTTGGGCGTGGAGAAAGCAAAGGCTGTTATTCATGGAGATCACTCATTATCGTTTGATCAGTTACGGTGGTATTCGGATACTGTGATGTGTTACAATCCGAGGAGTTATGTCAATATTGACTATGATGCGAGTAGTCAACAGTTTTGTCATTTCTTTTGTATCATTTGCTGCGTGTATTTCTGGGTACAATTCTTGTCGGCCTTTATTATTCCTAAATGGAACATTCCTCGAAGGAAAGTACAAATGTCAGCTACTTGCGGCAACTGCGAAAGATGGAAACAATGGTTAGTATTTTTTTTTAGCTGTGTATCTATGTAAATAT